TACTGATACAAAGCACATTCAAGCAAAAAAAAGAGACATTTCAAACATCAGATAAAGTTGTCTATGGAGCAACTTGATTCAGCCCAATGTGGGGCGGGTGCTAACAAATTACAGTACTTATTGATTAAAATCTCTTCTTGTAAATTGCTTGTAATTTATAACTTCGAAAATTATTTGTTGTTACGTTTTGTTGTTTTTAATTTGTTACTTTATATGATAATGTTAATTTTATCCGAGATTAGCTGTACCCGTGCGACTTTTTTTATTGTTTACATTTGTCAAATTATCAATTGCAAATGTCAAAATGACATGACATGATGACAACCCATGGCAGCCTTACTTCCTTGATGATGGCAGCTTTTAGCTTATGGTCCCTTTCCCACATTAAGGTTTTTATCCAATTTATTTACCCCCTAAATTTAACAGCGTAAAAATATGTACCCTTAAGCGTGACGTAAGTATTGGACTTTTTAATAATGAAAGAATTATTCAAAAATATGCTGTGATTGCTGACACCCTACGCCACAAAGTAGTGTATGTTTCCGCTTTAATATATTAGTATAGAAGTATAACTGTAACTTTTTTTAATTTATCTGCAGTCTTTAAAACTTTAAGCAAATGTGGAATTTAAGGAACGATTAATGTTTGTAACTACCATAAGTTTTAAATTATGTAGACCCAAGTGGAACACACCAATTACATATCTGTACGTATATCCGTTATCCGGAAACATTTGTAATTGCAAACTGGTTTATTATGCATCGTGTTATGACATAGATTAGGTACATTCGCGGCAATCCGCGGTGTTCAACTTCCAAAAACATTACCTTGTTCTTTACGATGAGACAAATGCCGCCTCTTTTTAAATAACCAATAATGAGAAGAAGCAATTACCTGGATTGGTAGGTTTTTTAAGTTTTTATTAGTCTTGGAAAGACATGTCAATCCCATAGCTACTCTTAGTGTTTAAGAAACGAGCTGGCATAATCGCACAGATCTTCAGATGCTGGCTCAGCCAATATTGACAGACGGGTTGAGCTTCAACTCCCGGAAAAGTAGCTTGCGCTCCCGTCTGTTTCTTAAAGTGGCTGAGTCTTTTACAAAGGGTTTATTATAAGAAATATGCTTGAAAATGGGCAATTAAGGTGTGGAAGTTAGAGTAAACGTTAACGTTGTCGTTGTCAGATGACTTAGATCTTAGATAACTTTACATTTAAAAACATTGTATTCTCATGCATTATACTTTCTCTGCCTCAGGCAAGATCCAACGTGGCTTATCTGACCTTTACTAAGTTTCACTGATTCGTTCTTTGATGTTTGTTAAAAATAGTTCTTTTAGTTTTAAATATTAACGCTCGCGACTGTGGTAATTAAAAAAAAAGTAAGTAGCCTATATGTTCTTCCACTCTACGTCTATGCCAAATTTCCAGATCCGATTATCCGTAGGCTACAAACTCTGACAAACATCTAGTCAAATATTTCCATTATACTAATATTATAAATGCGAAAGTTTAGATGGCTCGATGGATGTTTTTTAGAGTTTGTAGCCTAAACTGCTGAACGGATCTCGATTAATTGACTGTAGATGATATTCAGGAGAACACATAGGTTACCCAGTTTTGTCATTTTTTTAATCCCACGCAAACGGAGTCGCAGGCAAAAGCTAGTTTATAATATTTGTAAGAAGTAGTTGCATTCAAACTAAACATTCAAATATCTTCTTGAAGACATATAAAATTGTATTAAATCGAGTTGCTTTTACCAAAATAAATACTGATGAAATAAACGAAAACTGTAAAAAAAGTCCAATGTTTTCTTGCGTTGTGAAGTCACAAGTGAAGTAGAGTCTATATGTTTTTATTCCAGGTTTTTTCTATAAATAGAACTTTGATCACAAGATAGTAATGGTGTAGGAGTGCGTGTAAACATCGCGTGCTGGTATGCGACGTATATTAATTAAGGCATTGCCACACCACTCGCGGTTTACGACGCCGTCTCAAGAGCGCGTTACAACATACTGTTTACCACTTTCTTGATAGGAAAATTATACTTAAATTTGTATATAATACTAAAGGGTCGTTTAATAGTTACTTAAGCATCTCCTTAGTGTAGATTACTTGTAGTAACTTCGCTAAAGCAACCATTAGTGACCAGTGTAGTGAGATTAGATTTTTTTTAAAATAGGTCTAGATAACCCACTTATCTTACTTCTTACTAATGTTATAAATGCGAAAGTATCATCCATCCAATGTTTGTTAGAGTTTGTAGCCTAAACGGCTGAACGGATCTCGATGAAATTTGACATGGATGTAAAGGTTATTCTGTAAGAACACATAGGCTACTTACTTTTTTTTTATTTCATGCGGACGGAATCGCGGTCGAAAGCTAGTAACCTCTAAACTTACCTTTGTATTTAGATTGTATTGATATTTTAAATTTCTCTGTAGGGTTTTTGTAACACTTGCTATATTATCATTATTTTATTACTATTGTATCTAAATTTCTGTAATTTGTCACATTTCTTAATGTTATTGTTCATGTTCAACGACCATACGAGATGTCAAAAAAAATGTAACTAACCTGAAAATTATAGTGTCAAGATTGTGTTCTGCATTCTAATGATTATTATATTGTGCAATGATCAAGGTTTTATATGTAACTAGCTGTTTCCGTGCGGCTTCATCCGCATGAAATTATGAAATTTTCATTTTATTGTTTACATTTGTCAAATTATCAATAGCAAATGTCAAACTGACATGACATACCTTTGCAATCTTGTTTCCTTGATGTTGGCAACAACTTATGGTTTCTTTCCCGCATTAGGGTTTATACACAAAATATTTACCCCCTAAGTTTAATGGTGTTAAAATATATAGCCTAAAGCGTTAGGTAAGTGTAGGTCTTTTTATTAAAGAAGAATTATTCAAAAATATGTTGTAAATGCTGATATCTTAGGCAACGAAGAAGTGTGTTTATGCTTTATTACATTAATATAGAATACGCTTTATTATTTTAATAGTATAGATTATAGATTTATAAATTACCTAACGGCCTCACAATTCTGAACTTAGGTATCAAACAAAGAAAGTTCTTTAATTAAGTAATTGAGAAACACGTTTTACGTCGCCCGAGTGTGGAAGTTTCTATTTTCTGGGCAAAGGTTCATCTAAAAATTTGCGAAGTAAAACACAGTTTGAAATAAATTTTAGATGTTTACTTAATCGATTCTGGCTCCATCGTATATCTTTGCCTATTAATGTAACCTTCTCGTATAGTTCGCGCCAAAAGGGTATTAAATACATCAGCTGTCGGCTCGAAGGTTGGAAGGTATTGTTTAATTGGCACCAGTGTTGCCTATAGTTCTATAATTAAACGTTTCTTTCGAATTTGACAAAGGCCAAGAGTGACGTTTGACATAACCTATACTTAATTCCCCCCAAATTGCAGCCCGAGGCGTAATTATGTTAAATTTTGGACTTAATGATATATTGTTGCATGTATTGAAAGGCATCATACCCGGACATTATTTTATATTGTAAACTAGCTTTCGCCCGCGATTCCGTCCCCGTGGAATTAAAAAAAAATGCGAGTAACCTATGTGTATTTCCAGACTATCCTCTGCCATATATCTGTACTAAATTTCATCGAAATCCGTTCAGCCAATACTTCTTATTAACTATTTAAATCAGATTTATTAAATAACGAAAAAATCGGTGATTTCTTAACTCTTTAATTTTTTTCCAGGCCGCTAGTGCGTTATTTACGCTCGATGGCGCTCGAGGTGAAGCTCTCGCGCGGCGGCTGGCGCGGGGAGAGAGACGTCGTCGACGATGCCGCGCCGTGCTGGCGATAGCTGCACTGTTATTACTGCTGGCGGCTGTGTGTGCAGTGGAGTTGCTCATGTCACGAGGGCAGAGGGTCTTTGGAGCCGTGCTGCGATGAACGGTACATTTGGAAGGTTGTTTTTTAACCCGTCGTTCTCCCCCTGACGTGGTGAATCCAAGGACTATGTTGTCTTTCATGTGTGAAGGGTTTTTTCAAATTTATTTAACCCCTTAGTTAAATAACGTGAAAATGTGTAGCCTAAAGCGTGTCGTAAGTGTAAGGCTTTTTATTAAAGAAATAATTATTCAAATATATGCTGTGATTGCTGACATCCTAAGCCACGAAGTAGTGTGTTTACACTTTATTATATTAGTAAAGATATATAATACGTATGGAATACAGCTGCATTGCTTAATTAAGTGTTACTATACTTTCACAATTGCAATAAGCAATTTCACATTGCATTAAATAAGAATGTAACTTGATTGTGTAACAATAAGTTGGGTAAACTTCAAAAAGGAGCTCACCTAGAAAGCTTTCTTGTCCACTCAACTGAGGCTGAACTCATAATTTGTGTGAAAATACAATTATCGCCCACTTAAAATGTTTTCACCGAATTTGGCGAAAAAATGCCGTTTAGTTGTTCACCTTTGTGATGGCGTAATATAGACTTACTGTTACAACGGAATCTTGGCAGTTCAAGGTGCGATCTGCTCATCTTTGAAATATATGACTTCTTTTAAAATTCGTAAGATGAAATGCTGTCCTGATTGTGTTAGAGATTCCTTTATTTTAACTACTAGCTGCTGATCGCGACTGCACCCGCGTAAATTAAAAAATGTCATCCTGTGCTAGTATACCTGATAACGTAGCTTTTTACTGGTAAAAGAATTTTTGAAGCCCATTAATTTTTGTGTTATTTCAATACATAAAAAAATGCAAATCTTTCCTCTTTATAATATAGATTTATAATTAAGCATAATGTTCTTATTATCAAAATATTATTTCAGGAGCAGGGAGGCATTTTCTACATCAAACGAAAAAGGCAAACCTCGAGCATACTTACGTGGCATATTTTTCTTAATTTTTACAGTAATTAATTTTTGTTTTAATACAAATTATGGTTATTACCGATATTCGATAATCTACGATTTATCGATAATTTTGTGACATCCCTATTATGAAGTTTAGACCCTTTTTCCACTGTAGCTAGTTGCGCGGTCGTCAATTGGCATTGGCTACACCGCAGGACTGAAAGAAATGTATAAATTTTACAAAAACCTTTCCCCTGCCAAAAAGTCGCAGTTGCGTAGTAGAAGCGTTATTTTTCATTTTCTTACGATTGGAGGTTATTCTCGGCTGCTAGCTCAGTGGAAAAAGAAATTTATTAGTAAGGAGCTCAAAGAGCAAGAATGATGACGTAAAACTGACAGATGTCAGATCAACTCTCATTTCGTTCATTAATAAAAAATAGTATCGAATTTAATAGTTAAGTTTAATTTAAAAACAATTATCTCTATCTATGGTCTCCATTTTTTAATTTTAGTTGTAAGTTTTTTTTCTTGTATCAAAACATCCATTTGTAGGTTATATAGGAGCAGATGTTAGTTTTAGTTTAATTTGTAAACACGATAAGCCATAATCATTTTAATGTAAGTAAATCATTTTAGAATATGTAAATAATAAGGGAAACTGTATTTTTATTTTTAAAAATAAACGATTTAAATTGTGATCTTTATAAATTGTGATCTTTGTACCTTATTGTAATCATTTTGGTGATGAAATTTTTTACATTTAGCGATTTGATATCTATTTGCACAAAGTGCATTTGTATTTTTTTACGAATTAAATATTTTATCTGTGGTGAATTTTTCTATTATTTGACCCCCTAAGATATTAAATAAACACACAAGAAATCAAACAAAATTTAAAATAAACAATTTTATTTTGAATTTACATTAAAATACAGATAAAAAAATATTTTAAAAGAAACATTGAACTAAGGCGTGTATATTTGGCGACGTCTTGGCCACGAAAACCACTTTTACTAATAAAACATATACCTATCTCTATCTTTCCATATAGATTGAGTGAGATAACAATATTTTCAAACAGATAGTTCGTCAGTCCGCGAAGACTACGTCATCAATCTTCTGGTCCTGAGAGTCCATGGGGACTTCATCAAAAACCTGACACTTGAATCCTATTGCTACCACCTGTGAAAAACAGATTTTAAAAAGTTTACTGTTAAAAAGAAATCGGTACCGGGAGTAGCACAACACTAGATTATTGTCATACACGTCCCGTCACTATGACATCTGTCAATGTCATTCAGAAGTATGAAGGATAAGCGCGCCAATTCTTGGCGGGAATAGGTAATCTGTATATCGAAGAAGATTTACGTTCTTATAATTATTTCATTGTCAGTAATCTGAAAGTAGCCCCAGTGGATAAATCATGGAGTAAATGGTTAGCATGGAGCATGTTATGAGGGATGAATCGCATGTGACATGGAGAACATCGATATGAGTGCGGTACACCTTAAAAAGAGATGGATTGCGTGAAAGGAGACACGATCAAGAAGGGAGTGATGCGTGAGATGACGGATTATAGTTATTCAGAGTAGGTTAAAGAAGGGAAAATGATTATGTATTTTTCTAGAGACTTTTGACAGATGTAGATCATTGCATATTCTTATTAAAACTTACTTTAGGCGCTGTGTCAGGATTTTGTCGTAGATTGCTGATGTATTTGTCGTAATATCCACCGCCGTGGCCCACTCTGCCGCCGCTCCGGCTGAATGCGACTCCTGGTGCTATAATTAGGTCCAGACCTAAAAAAAATTAAACGTATAATGGTTATTATAAGAGTACTAAGTTTACATACAAGAGGAATGAGTTTGTGTTTAGTTTATATGGTTTTAACAGTGGTGGAGCTAGCTTTAACAGCATCATCATCATCATCATCACCAGCTCACTAAACGTCCCCACCGAGGGGTTCGGAGCCTACCCTAAGTTAGGGTGACTAGGCCATAGTCAACCACGCTGGCCCAGTGCGGGTTGGTTGACGTCACACATATCTTTGAATTTCTTCGCCGATATGTGCAGGTTGCATCACGATGTTTTCCTTCACCGTAAGAACGACGGGTAAATAATGTACATATGAAAATTCGAAAAATCGAAAATCACATTGGAACATGACGGGATTCGAATCCAAGACCTGTAGATTACAAGTCAAATGCTTAAGCCACTCAGCCACCGACGCTCGTATTAACATCTTAGCGCGAATTAGTCGACTCGGCCTCAATACCACTACCACACAGAAGACAGGCGTGAATACCGTACCAATATCCAGAGCGTCGTCCCTGATCTGTTCCTTGCTGTGCTGTTGTATGCCATGCCTGGTTAAAGGCATAGCGGTCTCGTCCCCTGACTCCAACTTGAGCATCTTCATCTTGCCACCAGCGTATTGCGGCACGAACGCAGCGCCCCCTTTAGCTTTTATGTGATCAATTATCGGCGCAGTGTCAACTTCCTGATCTGTGCTCATGAATATCGCTACATTTTTAGCTTTTTTGTAACAAGGATGATTTACAATCTAGAAAGAAAAATAACTATAAAATATATAAAACACAAGTAACGTTTTTTTTCCTACTTATGCTGGGTTTCTGAAGTTTCTGTATATTTTATCAATACCAAGTGGTTCACTAGAGGTAAATAAGTTTCAACGGAGTAAAACTCAAGTTACGTAGTTCAGAACCTTATTTTACTAATTTATCGAACCATAAGCACTATCGAATGGTTGAAAGTGGTTCAGATACCGCCCATTAGTGTCTAATGTTGACTAGTGGACGTTGCAATAAAAACTTTTTGGTTTTTAAACTTTGTATGTACTGTTTCGAGCAGTATGTGTTGGCAAATTTAAGCAGTGCGGAATTAGCAGCTAATCGCCACACTTTAACCGGAATATTCCCAACCGTTACCCCACTCTGTACCCACGTGGCGACAGATGAGAATAAAAGGTTGCATTCGTCCCACTATCACCAATAAGGTGACAAATGGAACCGTTAAGAAATAAAATAAGTTCCATCCGTCCCCTCATCGCAAAAGGTGGTATAGTAAAACTATTTTTATTCTCATCTGTCCCAACGCGGGGACAGAGCGGTGCGATGGTTGGGAATAATCCCACTAACCGAAATTTGCATTCGTTGCTATAAATTGCTACAGCACGCACTACTTGTAACAGTTCCTGTAGGTAGGTACCTTATCATAAACAATTTTAGATTGCCTCGTCTTCTCTTCGGTGGACAGAGCTGCGATCCTGGCGGCTACTTGCTCGCGGATCAGCACTTTAGCTGGATTGGGAGTCAGTCTACTCATGATGAAAAAGTTCCTGTAAAGAAATATACTAATTAACCTAATATTCATACGTTACATAAAAAAATATCTATAATAGTGTAGGCAAAATGTTTATAAATTGATTTCAGTCTATTTGCTAAATTCACAAATCGTTTCATTGGTAGAACCAGAAAAAACTGGACAAGACCAAAACACATTCTATTGGGCTTATCGCTTTGAGATGTTTATTTCTTTTGAACCTTGTCTCTGTGGATACATAGGATGTTTTGTAATAATAATTAGTTGCAATTGCTTTAATATAACAAAATAGAAATGTCCTTTTTTATAATAACAAGAAGTTCAAGAAGTAAATACACATGTATTGATATAAATTGTTATCTAGTTCGTTGACCTCTTTTAATTTCGGTTACAATCATCGGAAGAAATCGTTAAAATAATGATATACACAAGTGCTACTATCACTTAAGAAATAACCTTAAAACATTTTATTATTCTACGGTAGACAATGGTTTTGAATAAGACAAAATAAACTTTTTAATAAAAAAACAAAACCGACTTCCAAACAAAATACACGAAAAACAAAACAAAATGCACTAAAAACAAAACAAAAT